AGAATTCACAGAATTCACAGAATGAGTGGGTTGGAAGAGACCTTAAAGATCATGGAGTCCAACCCAGCCCGAGGCTTGTTTTAAACACATCCAGGTTGGATGAGTCTTGATCAGCCTGGTCTAGTGGAAGGGTCCCTGCCCATGGCAGGGTTTGGAGTGAGCTGAGGGTTGAGGTCCCTCCCAGCTCAGACCATTCCAGGGTTCCATAAATGCAATAAGCACTGGAATGTTGGTGTCCCTTACTCCAGCCAGGACAGGTTCTGCTTTCTGTCCTGCAGTGCAGGTTTGAATCTTCAAATCCAGAATGAAACAACTTCTCCAGGCCAGCAGCTGGAAAAGGTGTCCCCACAGCTGCCTGAGGAAAGGTCTGGAGATGTTTGCAGAGAACTCTGTTGTTCCCCATCTGTAGTGGAAGGAACTTGGCTCACCAGCCTTTCTTGTGCACCTGGATTAAAGCTGGTTCAGGCTTGAGCAGAGACTTTAATTTTAGCTTTTCTTTGAATATTCCGAAAGATCAGAAGGGCAGAAAGAGAAGGATAAATGAAACAACAACTCTTCTCATAAAATGACCCTTCCAGGGTCTAATCCTGCATCCCCATCGTGCTTTGAACACCTTGTGAAATCAGAAACATGCAGCACACACGGTGCTGGGGGGAAAGGTCTCGCTGTGGCCAGCAAAACCCTCCTGCAAGCCAAGAGGGTGTTACTGCTCTGAGCTGTGTCTTTGGTAATTTAAGATAGAGTAACCATGTGGTCACAGAGCAGATTAACATTCCTTGGCCGGCCAGGACGAGCTCTTATTTTGAAAGCCACCTGGGTTCCACTTAAAAGCAGTGGAATAGTGGAGGATTTATTAGCACTGGGCAGGCTCCTATTTAACAATGTCAAGGCAGAGCTGTGGAAATACAGACACTTTTCTTCTTTGGAGCCACGCAACGCTCTACATTTCGTCCTTGCACAGCTGTTGCTGTTCTGTAACATCAAACCAGCACAAAGTTTGGCCATGAAGGATACCTAATATTTGGGTTTTATATGCAGTGTCTCCAATTTATGCGCTCAGAATCATGAGGATGACTTATGATGTGTTGTGTTTGCCTTGGCAATGGCTCAAACCCAGAAATATATTTCAGGCTTGGCTTTCCAGATATTATCTCAAGTCATTTAAAAGTTCATTATAGGGCACCCGCTAGTGCTGCTCTAGTAAAGGGGCTGTCAGCATTTTTCAAGGGTTTATAACTCAGCCATTAAAAAAAACCCTCTCTGTGGGCTGAAACTTGGCATTCAGGGTCTAGGCCCAGCAGTAAATTGTTTTTACAAATTAAAAAAAAATCAGTTTGACTATTATTAAATTATAGGTGGGCTAAATTTTATTTAGAACTCTTTCAGGCTATTCTCCCGTACTTCTGTAAATTAAAACGTTTCCCAAATGTTTTTATAGAGTGCTAGTCTAAAATATGGACAGGCTTTTGTCCTGTGCTCGAAACCCTGAGATTTAACTTTAAATATAATAACAGTGCTTATCCCAGCATAGCACTTTTCACCTTCAAAGTGCTTTATGAGCATTATCTCATTAATGTACATAGCAGCCTCCCCATGATGTAAGAGGGATTATTATCCTCACTTTATGGCTGGAGACATCGAGCCAAAAGGTTTAAGGCTGTTTTTAAAGGACCTTAGTTGCACAAATCCCATGTGAGCTTTGATTGGCTTTGGGTGTCTACTTCCCTTTGGCTCCTCTAAAAATCACAACTGAGCTGATTCACCCAAGGCTGCTCGGAGCCAGGATTAAACTCAGACTTTCCAAAGGCCAGTGCCACCAGACTGGATCATTCCCAGTACACAAAACCCATCCTTTTTTCTAAGAAATTGTTCTTTAGGTCAGAAGGAGTCAACTCCGTCTGGAGGGCTCCTGGATGGCAGGAAAGGAGCAGATGAATTATGATGAGATGGTTTGGATTGGAAGAGACCTTTAATCCCATCCCATTCCACCCCTGCCATGGGGCACCTTCCACTATCTCAGGGTGCTCCAGCCTGGCCTTGGGCACTGCCAGGGATCCAGGGGCAACCACAGCTGCTCTGGGCACCCTGTGCCAGGGCCTCTCTACCCTCACAGGGAAGAATTTCTCCTTTGATGGGCTTTGGAAGGTGAGAGACACGATAAAAATACAACTGGGCTTCTCTGCAGCCCCTCCACACCAGGCAAGGGCAGCAATGGAGGAGTTTGGTGCATGCCAGGGAAGGGATGCTCATCATTTTGTGTGCCTCAGTAGCAATCCAAGGTTTCTGGGGAGTTTATTTTCAATTCCAAAACTGCTGTATCTGTGAGAAACATCTCCCAGAGCTCCCAATGGCTTCAAACCAGCCTTGTTTAAATCTCATCTCAGGCGAGCTGCTTGATCTGGTTTATGATTCAGATGCTAAATGTATGGATTTGAGGACTATTCTAGGGCGAATTTAGGAGATGGATTTGTTTTAGTGTTTCTGCAGCAGCTCCTGGAGGAAGGTGGAGAACAATTAGAGGAGCCAGCAGCTCCTGAGGCCACTTGTGTTGGTACTTACAGAGAAGTTGCAGCCACACTTTTTCACTGACTTACGACTTCTATTGATACTTCAAAATCCTTTTCCAGCCTTTGGAAGCCTGCCCTACATCCTCACTCCTTTATTTGCCTCTCCTGTATTCCTCAGGACCTTTAAAACCTCCTGTTCATGTGCAGTTTGTCAGGCAGCCCATCCCAGGGCTGTTTCTCTCCTGCTAGGCTGGAGATGGCTGAAGGAACATTATCAGGAATTAAAGAAATGGCTGCGGTTCAGAAATGTTACGTTGGGTAATTAACTGCGGTTCTCCGGTCCCAGGCTGTTAGTGGAGCTTTATTAAACCCAGATTGTGCAGAGAGACCAGGAATCCATGAGCTGGCTGGAGCTCTGCTTCCCAGAGAGGGTGTTAGGATGGCAGGGCAGAAATGTGCCTTGGGATGGAGCTTGGAGAAATGTTCCTGGGGAGCTGAGGAGCCATGGGACACCCCTGAGAGAGACCTGGACCCTGCTGTCTGTCCTACAGGGCTGGGATCTCTACCCTTTTAACCCCATCCACAGCTTTCCCAAATCATTGGATCCATGGGAGTGCCAGAACAGCTGTATTTTCATAGAATCGTGGAATGTTCCGGTTGGAAAAGGCCTTTAAGATCATCAAGTCCAGCCAGCACCATGTTACCACTAAACCACGTCCCCAAGTGCCACTTCCATGTGTTTTTTGAACATTTCCAGGGATGGTGACTCCACCACTGCCCTGGGCAGCCTGTTTAAACACTTTACAGCTCTTCCCATGACATTTTTTCCCCTGATTCCCAATCTAAACCTCCCCTGGTGCAACTTGAGGCCGTTCCCTCTCATCCAGTCCCTTGCTCCCTGAGAGAACACACAGTTTCACACCTGCACATTAGAACTTAATTGAAAAAATAATACACCTGGAAAAAAAACTATCTGTGGGCAGGGCCTCGGTGCCAAATGTTTGTCCCAAATGGCTCCTGGGTCCAGGTGAGGACAGGGACGCTTTGTTCAAAGTGCTGTGCAAACACAGGGTAAGTTGTGTGCTAAACAGATTAAAAACAAAGGCAAGAGATACTGCTCTCCACAAACCATAATGAAGGGAGGAGCTGGGCAAGCCAAGATTACAGGAATAATTAGGGAAGTGGCTTACTTAGGCAGGCTGGGTGGCTGAGCTGGTTTGGAACATGCTGGAGGGTTTTTTCACACTTTTAGGAAGGTTTCTTGCTGGAGTGAGCTGCAGATGGACGTGAGAGTGATGGAGCACAAGCAGCACAGCACCAATTTGGGGATGGAAGAGTCCAAGGCCAGGTTGGACAGGGCTTGGAGCAACCCAGGATAGTGGAAGGTGTCCCTGCCTTTGTCAGGGGGTGGAAATGAATGAACTCCAAGGTCCCTTCCAATCCAAATAATTCTGTGAGTCCAAGTTCACTGCCTGATTCTGGCTTTTCTTGACCTCCTGGTTTGGCTCTGAGAGTTCAGGAGCCAGGTACAGTCAGGATTTCTCTTTCCTTGGCCACCCTGCTGGGACAGCCAGCAGCTGATGGTTTTGAACCTCTGACATGGAGATGAGAGCCTGAGGATTCCATTCCCCATCCCCAACCCATCTCCCTCCTTGCCTTTAAAGGATTTATGGTGAATACAGTGAATGAGGAATGGGCCTTTTCCTGAAGGATGCCCAGTGAAATAGCCCTTGACAGAAGGCAGTGCTCAGGAATGGCTTAGGAGAGATTCACCTTTGTAATGTTAATTTAATTTGATTTTTCAATCATGAGCCCCTTTTCAGAGTGGAGGTAATCTTCAGTACAATTAGCCATGGAAATACTGAGTGAGAATGAAGTCTCCTTTCCCAGATATGATCCTTACTCCTCATCTCTGCAGCTGGTGCTTACAAAATCATGGATAACACACTATCTGCTCAGCCTGGGAGTCACTCAAAATGCCTTGGAGACAGGATCACAGAATCCTGGAATGGTTTGGGTTGGAAGAGACCTTAAATCTCATCCAGTGCCACCCTTGCCATGGGCAGGGACACCTTCCACTGTCCCAGGTTGCTCCAAGCCCTGTCCAGCCTGGCCTTGGACATTGTCAGGGATCCAGGGGCAGCCACAGCTGCTCTGGGTCACAGGATTTTCACTTCTGAATTATTCCTTTCATATATTTCTACATTTGGTGGATTCTGGCATGAGCAGAGGCAGGTCAGCATCAAAATGAACAACTGGAGTGCTGAGATGTTTTTCCTGTGTTTCGGTTAGGAAAAAGAAAAGAAAAAAGAGCAGCAGTGGTTTTTTTTTTGTGCTAAATGAAGCCAAATAGGAGATGTTGAAACAGCAGGGGGAACCCTGCTATCCATCCACCTCCTTTGTGTCTCATCCAAAGACAAGCAGGAGCTTTCTCCACAATGACATCCCCTGCTCTGGAGTCCTTCATTCCCCTTCTCTTCTCTCCAACCCCAGATTATTTCCTGACGCTGGACGAGCCCATGAACAACATCACCACCACCCTGGGCCAGACGGCAGAGCTGCACTGCAAGGTGTCTGGGAACCCCCCTCCCACAGTCAGGTGGCTGAAGAACGACGCTCCCGTGGTGCAGGAGCCCCGCAGGATCTCCTTCCGAGCCACCCCCTACGGCTCCCGCCTGCGCATCCGCAACCTGGACACCACCGACACCGGCTACTTCCAGTGCGTGGCCACCAACGGCAGGAGGACAGTTTCCACCACCGGCGTGCTCTTTGTGAAGTTTGGTGAGTTTCCTCCTCTTAAACTGTCCCAGCTCTTGCTTAGGAGGAGGTGTTTGTCCAGGGGAAAGCAGCGTGCTGGTGTGGCGGCGTTGTGCGGTTTTTGAGGTTGGAAAAGCCAAGTTTGTTAAACCTGTCAAATTCAGGTTATCAGAGAGCCCAGGAATCCATGCGCTGACTCAAAATGGGCTTCCCAGAGAGGGTGTTAGGATGGCAGGGCAGAAATGTGCCTTGGGATGGAGCTTGGAGAAATGTTCCTGGGGAGCTGAGGAGCCATGGGACACCCCTGAGAGAGACCTGGACCCTGCTGTCTGTCCTACAGGGCTGGGATCTCTACCCTTTTAACCCCATCCACAGCTTTCCTAAATCATTGGATCCATGGGAGTGTAGCAACAGCCGTATTTTCACAAAATCATGGAATGTTCAGGTTGGAAAAGGCCTTTAAAGTCATCAAGTCCAACCAGCACCCAACACCACCACACATTCACCATTAAACCATGTCCCAGGTGCCACATTCAGTTTTTTGAACAGTTGTAGGGATGGTGACTGCCTTGACTGTGACTGTTCCAACATTTTTGGAGTAGAAATTTTCCCAATATCCAGTTCAAACCTCCCTTGGAACAGCTTGAAGCTGTTTCCTCTCCTCCTGTCCCTGTTCCCTGGAGCACAGCCCGACCCCCTGGCTGTCCTCTCCTGTCAGGAGCTGTGCAGAGCCACAAGGGCCCCCTGAGCCTCCTTTGCTCCAGGCTGAGCCCCCATTAATGGGGTACCTGGGTAGATTCAGACCAGAGGAGAAAAACTCCTTTATTCTGAGCGACCTCTGTGTCTGGTGAGTGAGAAACTTCAGCTGGCACTGCAGGCTGAGGGCCTGAGATGAGACACATATATACCTGTCAGGGAAAATAAGCACTCATTCTCCCAAGTTTATATTGAGATAACTGCCTTCAAAGCTGATCTTACCACTCAGAAGATTCCAAACAAGAAACAGGTTTTGTGTGTCTTCTCCCCCTCCTCCTCCACGGTCAGGGGGAAATAATTCACTGAGATGAAGATATTTGCACACAGTCCTGGTTAATCCTCTTTGGAACTGGACAAATAACACACAAGGAATGATGGATGTGATGAGTTTCATCTTCTTTTTTTTCATAAATCTCCCATGTTTTCTGATTTCTGATAAGAAATTAATCATTAGGTGTTCTCCTAAGGCAGTTTCAAGAGGAGGGTGAGTTGCTCACCTGTTTATTGTCCTCCTGTCATGTTCTGCAGCCAATACAGGCTTGTCTTTGGTGCTGAGGGGCTGCCACTCCTCTGTTCAACTCCATAAACCACAGCCAACACCACAGACTGGTGCTTTTATCTTTTAAAAGGTTTTCAAAAGCTTCCTGCTTGCTACCTCGCCGTAACTCATCCTGCTGTTTTTCTTCTGTCACTTTTCCAGGTCCCCCGCCAACAGCAAGCCCAGGATCCTCGTAAGTCCTTTCATGTCTCTTCTGTGCCTTCATTAATCTTGCATTTCAGCAGTCAGAAGTTCATTTGTCATTTGGTGTGACAGGAGCACTTTTCCATTCTGCTTTTTAAGTCAGATAGGATGGTAATTTATTGTAACTGAGTTATCTGTCTCGCAGTGATATTTTCATGTTATCGTGTCAACTCCTGTTTCTTACCCCAGACTTCTTAATTTCCAATATTATTACCTTTAGATCCTCTGGTGCCTTCAGTCTGTGAAGTGATTTCAGTGCACCTACAGGTACTTCATCCATGTCACAGCCCAGTCTGGAAAATATTTATCACTACAAGCAGATTTTACTGCCCAGGGGCTTCTTGCTGATTTTAAGGGTCGTAAACTGTGTCTGTCTCTCTGTACCTGTATTAATAAACTGCCTGAAAGGATTTTTAAAGATTTTTTTAAAGATTGAGTAGGTGGGTGGGAGCAGTGGCTGTTTGTACCAGAGCTCCCTGTGTCCTGGAGCTCAAGTTTGGCTCCTGCTGCAGGCTCTGAGCACTCCCCACGCTGTATTTTGGCAGTGGAGCTTCTGTCTTGGGCAGTTTTTGAGAATATTCACTTCTATTTCTAATTTCAAAATACCTGATCAAACCTGCTCACCTTCTCAGTGCCTTGTTGTTCTCAAGTGTGATCTCTGAGACTTGGAATCACTTTTGTGGTGCTTATTCACATCTCACATTGTGGAAAAATATTGAAAATCCACCTCTCCTGGTGAGGGGAGGGAAACACAGACCCAAGTGAACCAGAAAATTCATCTATTAATGCAAGGAATTCAATTACAAGGGATGCAAAAACCTGGGGACGTGAATGTTCCTGGCTCCTTATGGAAGATCTCCCATGAATTATTGCAGAGGATATGAATGAGGAGAAGCATCTGACCACAAAAGGATGTTGTAGGATGCCCTCTAATGGAACAGCCTAAAATGTGGTTGTATCTCCCCTTGTGAAGGTGCCTGTGTGGAATCCTGCAGTTTGTTTTGGAAGGGGAGCTCTTTGCTGGGGTTTCAGCCCTGTTTGGTGGTTCTGGGGCTCTGGGGAGGGAAGTTTCCTGCTGCTGTGGGATTTGGGGGCTGTTGGGCTCTCCAGCAGTTTGGAGACTTAATGAATGAGGTGAGGAAATGGGGATTTTGTGCTGCTCCCAACTGGTTTGGGGTTTCTGAAATTTGTGGGGTTAAACATCACCTCCTTGATGGTCAGAGCCCACATGGGAGCAGTGTGAGCACAGAGAGCTGGGCTGGAATTTCAGTCTGGGCCACTCAGGAGTGCCTCACTTTTTAAAACAAAATACATTTGGGAATCTTTTTTTCCCATTTTGTCTTTCTGGCAAGGGGTTTGGTGTTTTTTTTGCTCCCCTTCCAAAAAAAACCCCACAACTCAACTAGCTAAAATACACACAAAGGATGTGAAAAGGTGAAAAGAATGGGAGATGTTCTCTTTAATAGTTGATTTTGTACTTGTAATAATTATGATTTTGTAACCAAAAAAGAAATTTAATCACACTTTGGTTGCATGTTGTGAAATGCAGGAGGGAAATTACCTCAAATTCTGGTTCTTGGTGTTTGCTGCTCCTTCATGCAAAGAATGTCCTGGGGACTGGGCTGTGTGACTCTCGTGTGGCCTTCTCCCTGTGCAAGTTGAAAAATGAATTTGTAGCTATGAAATTCATTTTTCTGCTCTTTTCTTCTGTGCAAACCAAGCCCACGTGTGGCAGTTTTCAAGCTGCAGGGTGAGAGATGAAGTACCTGGCTGTTCTCCCTCATCATCCTCCCTCTAGGGAACACTTTCCTTGGGAATAGGCTGGAGGCTGGGTCATAAATTCAGGAAAAAACCTGATGGCAAGGTCCTGTTCCCAGGTCTTTATCAGTCACCCAGGAGTGGGAGGTGGTCTTCATTTACAGATTTCATTTCAGGATCCTGTTTTTAAAAATATCCACACACTCAGCCCTTTTCCCTCCATAATTTATAGAAAAACAGATGGGCCAAGTGTGGGAATGTGAAATGATGATTTCTGTGAAAGGGATAGATAAAACAGTAATTTTTGTCTGTTATTTTTGCTGCTTTCCCTAAGAGAAATGGCCAAAAGTCTGATTTGGAAATCAGTCTGAAGCAAAGTGCTGCTGGGGCCCTGAGCATCCTTCCTTTAACTCTGCCCTGCTGTAAAAGCCCTGGGATCACATTCCATGGTCCTGCTCTGCTGCTCTGACTCAGCTGGGAGAAGCTTCTTTTGTTTAAAAAAACCCAAAAACAACAAGCCTTGCTCATGTTTTAGAAAGAAATTATTACTTTTATTATATAATAATATAAATATAAGTATATAAAATATTTATAACAAACCATATAAATATATATGTTTTATTTAATAAAACAGTATAAAATATAAATATTATTTTAAATGATAGAAAATATAATATAAAATGTTTTAATAAAATATAATATAAAATATAATATTTGAAAACATAAAATATAATAAAAATATTTAACGTGAAATAGAATATAAAATTAAAAATTTATAAAAATAATATAAGATATAGTAAAATGTAGAAATATATAATATATAGATATGATATAGAAATATATATAAAATTTAAAACAATATTTTAAAGTATAATAATAATATATAATATATAATAGAATATTATTCTGTTTTTGGGTGCTGCAGATGCGGGGCCAGCTGCAGGCAGCTCAGGGATGTGGGGAGGCTCTGGATGCCCATGTCCCACACCTGGATGTGTCCCCAGGAGGCAGCTCCAGGCTCTCCAGTGCTGGAATCATTTCCACAACGTGGATGGTGTCAAGGGCACCTCCACAGCAGCCTGGGAGGGCAGAGGGGTCAGGAGCTCTGGCTGGAACAGGTCACCCTCAGCTGATGTGTGTCCTTCTTTTAGCCATGAACTTCTGAATTCAACCACAAATTGGGTTGATTTCATATTTTTGGTTAATTTTTAGGGAGATCAAAGGCAGCGTTTTGGTGTGTTTGTGCAGTGCTCTGTGTCTGTGCACTGTGCACACAAATTTATCCCAGAATCCCAGGAGGGTTTGGGTTGGAAGGGACCTCAGGGATCCCCCAATTCCAACCCCTGCTGTGGACACCTTCCTTAAACCAGGGATTTGCACTGTAGCTACTGCTTCTCAAATTTTCCCCCAAAACCCAGATTTTAACAGTATTTTTGAACTGCACATCCCTTTGAAAGTCGCTTTTATCCATCATGCATGGCAAGGTTGGTCCCTTAAGGACACAGAACCAGAACAGAGCGAGGTCAGGGCACAGCAGATCCTGGGGCTGAGAGGATTTAATGGAACAACAGAGATCCTTTGGCCTGGGAAATGTTCTGTGCCCAATCTTTCCGTGCTTTTTGTCCCATTCTCCATTGTTCCCCTTACCCTGAGCCTTGGCTTTGTGCTTATCCCAAACTTTGCCCACTGGAGGAGAAATGCTGAGCACAAATCACTGAAATTAGAGGTGGTGGGGCAAGAACTTCCACAAGAGCTGCAGTGAGAAAGAAAAGGAAAATGCCAGTTTACATGGGCTGGTGTAAAAATGAGCTGGAAAAACTCTGCTGGAGTGGAATCCAGTGGGAAGAGTGCAGGAAAATTCTCTGTATTTATTATTTATTGTGTTGTGAGCATGTTCTGAAGAGCTTTGACCTGGATGTGTATGGCAGGGATATATTCCCAAGCGGAATATGTACATGCTGGTGCCAATATTCCTCTGGAACAGTCCTTTTGTTCTTCATGGAGCCTCTTCTATATATAAATATCCTAAATATGGCATTGTTTTGTTCTTTATTTAACCACTGGGAACGAGGAGAGGGGAAAAGAGGAGACAAGAGGGCTGTAACTTTAAGGAGCATCTGATTCATAAAATGAAATGGGGTTTGTGATTCCCAGAAATAAATAGCTTGCAAGGCTTGAGAAACCACAAACCCCCCTGGATTTTCCCATCTTTTTCAGTCATTGAGATTAAAAAAAAAAAACAAATTCTTTTTTTAACTTTCAGCTAAACACATCTGGGTTTTTTAGTAAAACAGATCTTTTGTACAGTGGCTCTGTGTGCCAGCAACAAGAAAATGTGTAAGCACTGGCCAGCATCCAGGTGAGGCTTGGCCAACTGTGTGTGTGACTGTGGATTTCAAAGAGGAACACAGAGACTTTCCTCTTTTGGCCACAGAAGGTAAAATTTAGAGAAGGAAAAATGCCAATCAAGAGGCCAGAACAGATTCAGTGCTCCAGCAGCATCCTGGGAGTGATGTCCCTGCACTCTGGTGCCAGGTTTGACTTCTGAATCCTGGAATTCCAGCCTGTCCCACATTTTGTGGCTGGCACAGAAACTCCCTCCTGCTGTTCAGTGATGGAAATTTTGAATGAGGACTGGACACAATTCCCAGGTGTTTTGCTGTGAGATCTTTTACAGTCCCACTGTGTGCTGGTGCAGCAGCTCGTTCCTAGAACCCTGTGGGATCTGGGACACAGCCCTGAGGTGGGATATTCCACGCAGAGGCCAACATAAATATATTTGGGGGGAAAAAAAGGCCCCACGTGGTGCAAGGCTGGAGCCTGAGTGGCTGATGCTGACACAAACCATGTTCATCCTGCTGCATGACTTCATCCCAGGGAAAATAATCCTCCCTCGGTTTGCCAGGGGCTCAGGCAGGTTATCTGCCAGGGCTGCAGTGGGAATGTTCCCAGGGAGAGCTGGCCTTGTCCTCTCCACGGGCTCTTTCATCTGCTGCACACTTATCTCCCTCGTGCCACTGATGCCTCAGGTTTTGGCTTTTATATTTTATATTTAGATTCTGAGCTGCTTTAGTGTGTGGGTCTGGGTTCACATGAGGGGATGGTGAGCTCTGTGCACAGAGCAGGGACACAAAACAATTCCTGCTCCAGCTGGGCACCAAGGACAAATGATCCAAATCTCAGCCCAGGAGCACAAACCCCGTGGGCTGCAGAGAGAAAAACAAGCAGGAT